CATTTTCTCTCTCCCAGTATATCCCAGTCCATCCCAGTACCTTGAGCAGCTGTCCCAGCAGCCTCTGGTGGCCCCGGGCCAGCACAGGGAACCCTTTTTTGTTGGTCAGGAAGAGCCGCGTGGGGATGAGGGCGGCGCGGACGGGCTCCCCCAGCCAGCGGGACAGCGCCGGCGCCGACGGCAGATCCGCCCCGATCTCCAGCGCTGGAAACAAAAAAAATAATTTGGGTGAAATTCTGGGGATTTTGGGAACATTGGGAAAAATTTCGGTGAAATTCGAGCGAAATTTGGACGAAATTTGACGATTTTATGGCGATTTTAACGCGATTCTCTGCAGATTTTCGTGAAATTTAGGGTCTCCCCGAGATTTTTTGGGTGGATTTCTCGGGAATTTTTGGGAATTTTTTATAATTTTGGTGATTTTTGGGTGAAATTCCAGGGATTTTGGGAAAAATTCTGGTGAAATTCCCATGAAAATCGGGCAAAATTTGTCCCTTTTATGATGATTTTAAGGTCATTTGCACCCAAATTTTGAGTCCATTTTGGCTCCTGAGAAGGATTTTTGGGAAATTTTGGGAATTCCAGGGGTTTTGGGAATTTTTCATGATTTTTGGATGTTTTAAATAAAATTCCGGTGATTTTTGGTGAAATTTGGGTGAAAATCCGACAAAAATGGGGTGAAATTTGGGCAATTTTTGCCCATTTTACGGTGATTTTTGCCCAAAGTTTGAGTCAATTTTTGTCTCCTGAGAAAGATTTTTTGAGCAATTTTTTGGGATTTTTGGGATTTTTTTGGGAATTTTTTGGGGATTTTTTGGGGGATTTTTTGGGATTTTGTTGCTCAGGAAGAGGCCCCGACGGCAGATCCGCCCCGATCTCCAGCGCTGGAAACAAAAAAAATAATTTGGGTGAAATTCCAGGGATTTTGGGAAAATTTGGGAAAATTTTGGTGAAATTTGGGTGAAAATCGGGAGAAATTTGCTCATTTTATGGCGATTTTTGCCCAATTTTGAATCAATGTTGGTTCCTGAGAAGGATTTTTGGGAATTTTGGGGGTTTTTGGGAATTTTTTTGTAATTTGTGGGTGTTTTGGGTGAAATTCCGGGGATTTTGGGAAAAATTTCGCAGATTTAGGGCAAGATTTGGGTAAAATTCCGGTGAAATTTGGGCATTTTTGAGGCAGATTTGGAGCTGATTTGAAGCCCCGCCCCCTCCCGGGTGAAGCCACGCCCCTTTTTGCAAAGCCCCGCCCCTTTTCCTGATGTCACACCCTATTTTCTGAGGTCACGCCCCTTTCCCGAGGCCACGCCCCTTTATCCAGACACCACGCCCCTTTTTCCGAGGCCACACCCATTTCCCGAAGGCCACGCCCGTTTCCCTGAAGCCACGCCCCGTTTTCCCGAGGTCACGCCTTTACTTAAAGCCACGCCCCCTTTCCCGAGGCCGCGCCCCTTTTCCCAGGCCACGCCCCCTTTCCCAATGCCACGCCCCTTTCCCGAAACCACACCCCTTTCCGAGGCCACGCCCYTTTYCCCGAAGCCCCGCCCATTTTCCTGATGCCACGCCCCCTTTCCTCGAAGCCACGCCCCTTTTMCTTAGTCCCTGCCTCTTTCCAGGAGGCCACGCCCCTTTTTCCCGAGGCCACGCCCATTTTTCGAACCCACACCCCTTTTCTGAGTCCACGCCCCTTTACCACAAAGCCACGCCCCTTTCCCAGAGACCACACCCCTTT